GCATTATCCTCTTCAATATTAGTAATTAGGTAAACTTTGCGCGCTTTCATCTGGGTTTCGTTATCATGCTTTAATATTCGGGCACTCAAAACTTTTTGTAATTCAATCCAGTCTAAATCTTCTTGTGTGATTACGATTGGGGGAATTTTCTTAGCAATGTTTTCATTCTCTTCTGCTTTCATGGTATTTTCTGCTTCGTTATTTAGGGGTTCAAACCGATTTGTCTGTTCTATTTCTTTTACTTCCATAGAGTTGGCATCTGGTTTACAGGTCTTGTAAAGGATTTTCCAGTCAGGTTCCTTATTATTTTTTGCTGCCGCTATGGCTATTTTCTGTCTAAGTTCATTCCTGGTTTCGCTGATGATTTAAAAAGTCTGTTATGGTCTACTACGCTATTTAAGTATATATATGCTCATTTTCAAAGCAATAGAGATCACTTAATTCGGCCATGGGAGCTCCCTAATATTTCCTCAAAAATTACCTCACATTTTTCTTCATTGATTTCATAATTCCTGTCTTCCATTATTCTTTGAATTAAGTTGGGGAAAATGTCTTTATATCTTTCTATAATGGCTTCAAATTTTTTAGTCCTGGGGGTCCCTTTCTCCATTCTGGTTTTAGCTCTTTTTTTTTTTTTTTTTTGCTGGGTTTTACTATTTTCTGTTGGGCTGGTTTTGATAAAGTGTTTAAGTTTAAATTTACCGCTATTCTTAGAGGAGATCGAGTAACCAGGTTCATGTTCCATTTCACTATCGCTATCAGGCCTCTTCCAAAGATGGTAAGGTGGTTTTTTGGCTGACATAATGCAAAAAGTAAAGGATACTTACGAGAGTTCAAAATGCACAACCTTTACGTACGAAAGCTCACCTCCATCTTCAACACAAGTTTCTTTCCACATATAAAAAATAGATTTTGTAAATGATAGTCATAGGCACTGTTTGAATTAAGAATAACTAATTTGTTGTCCAGATAAGCCTAAGTATATGTAGGAACATATTAATTCAGGACTAAGATAAGCTGTAAACATACGTATAAGCATAACTAATATAAATCAGGTTTAACTTCTCCTGTGCATGACAAGAGTTAGATAAACTGTAGCAGAACATATCTGCAATTGTCACACTCATCATAGATCACCAATAATGCATAGTGGATGATGGCTAAGCTTTATGATGACAGCTTCAAATTTAAAGGTTTTCAAAAATGACCAAATAAAATACGAAATTTTTCAATTAATGGAATTTGAAAAAGATGTGATAAAAATGGAGATAATAGAAGTTTTCCTTTGCAGTGACACTCTCCCAGTCATCAATCAACTAACGAACAGCGCAATCTATAGTATGGTTCTAAATCCAGAAACAATTCACAATCCGCTACTGATTGTGAAGAAAGTGACAGAGAAGTTGTTAACAATGAAAAAATTTCGATTGACAATTTAATGGCAATTCTGAACAGGACCGTTAGAGGATTTGAACATTGGCACTTTGTAACTGAACAATAAATTATATCTGTCTATGAAATTAAAGAAAAAGTTTAACACAAGAAACAGAGCAACTTAAATAACTTATATTGAAAATAATGTTTAATAAAGCAAACAAAAAAATGTTCAGCTTTTTTTTTTTTTGATAAATTTTAATTACCTGAAAGTTAAAAGTGCTGCATTATTTCATAAACAACTATTCATATTTTAATTTTATAATTTCTGCATGTCAGCTTCCTATATTTATAATGATGATCTAAAATCCGAAAAATTCCAGAATCATTGAAGTCCCGATCTCAGATTTTTTAACTGTACAATACAAACAAATAATATGTATCCTAAATCTGGATCTCCAGTATCCAAAATGATCTAAAACCTGGATGTCCGTAACACCAGCAACACCCCCTTTTTTTTTTAGAAATTGTTTTGTATACTTTGCATTTGTACATTTGATATTTTTTTCATAATGAAACATAGGAAGACTACTGATTCTTAATTTTTTTTCACTAAATAAAGTAATTCCATATCAAGGAACAATTATTTTTTAGCATAAATTTCTGTCATCAATAAATTGGCTTCACAGCTGTGTTTTTGCTTGCCGTACATCTTAAACCAAAACATTCTACATCAAAATATCATTGATTTTATACCTGCTGAATAATTTATATCCCTGCGTCCAACTTGGTGAATCATTATTTATTATTTTTGGCTTTCATTATCACGTGACTGTCTTCACACTCCAGCCTAATAAATGATATAAGCTGCATAAATGACTCATGCAGCTATGTCTAAACATTTTTTTTTTAATATTAGTGTTTGAATACCAAAGAGCATGATAATCTTTTATGTTGTCAGTACGCTTTGCGATGAATACAGACTTTAGCCAACTTCAGTGCAAAATGTTCAGTATGTTGATGAGCAGAAATTTAACTGAAATTTTCATTCCATGTGCTAAAAGCTAAAAATACATTTTCTAAATTATAGGCCAAAAGATTACATTTAGTACTGTTTGAATTGAGAATAACAAATTTGTTATTCAGATAAGCCCAGGAGTGGTGCCACAGCTGGTGCGACTACAGTGAGCAGCAGAATTTAAGAGCAAAATTTTTAGAATTTATAGAAGCACCAAGCAATAAAATTAAGGGATGCAAAATCTTTATAATTTAGAGAAGGCCCTGGGGTATAAAATTTAAGGAGGTGCCTTAGTAGCAGAATTTCAGACATGCAGAGACCACTCCAGGCCACAAAATGTATAGTGAAACAAAGTCGGGCAAAATGTAATTGCAGTTATTGGTTATTGCTAATCTAAAAATTATTATTCTAATCTAAAAATTAATTAAAGATATTGTGATCATACTGGGTGTGGTAGCACATCCCACCCAAGCTGTAATAGCTTTTGATGAATTAATCAAACTTGTACAAGATCTGGCATTATCATTTTTGAACATATACTTTTTCTGTTAGTCACGTCTGACCCCCCTTTTTTTAGCACTGCACTTTCAAATCAGTTGTAAAATGGTTTTGTGAAAGTTTTACCCCCCTCCAAAAAAAAAACTTTAAAATCCCACCAACTAGAGAGTATCACTTTTTTTTTTTTTTTTTTAAGTGTTTTGTGCCTGCTTATCTCTTCTGAGGCATGATCATTTGCATCTGACATTGTTGTGAACATTCCATTTATTTTCACAAGTTCTGATTTGCTTCAAAAGTGGATCATTTTCTTGATGTTTGAAAACCCAGTCACAGATGTCATGAACTTAGAAATGAAGTTAAGATGTTTCATGTCATTCTTAAGCAGTTGAATTCGACAAATATAATCTGTTAGCTATTTCTCATCTTGTTAGGCAATTTGCTTCATCAGTCAATTATTTTTACCTTCATCAGTTTCAAGTCACCTTCTAGAACATGGTGCATATTAAATATCTAAATTGCCAGAACAAAATTTTGCAAACAACTTTGGTGTTTTTGAGACTCTGAAAAGAAAAACAATTGCATAGAATCAAACAAATTTCTTTTCCAAATGAGCCATGGAATATCAGCTGTCAAAATATATAATTATGATACAATTTAGAATGAAGATTGCAATTAATCTAATAATTAAAAAAATCTGAACATCCCAGTAGTAAAACCTTTATTTAATGATTATCAAAAAAGTGCTGAATATTATTATTAAATCTAGAAATTGCAATTTTATTCTAAGAAATTACAGTTTCCTTATAAAGTTTAAAACTGTGTTTTGCATTCAATTAATTATCCAGTTTTTTTAATCGTCTAATTATACTCAGATCAGAAATATTATTTAATGCAGAGTACACTGATTTTCATATTTTTTCTGGAACAAATGAAAACTTGATATTATACATAAATGTTATTGATAAAAAAAAAGAAATTAATATTCTATGTTTAAGAAAAATAGAAATTAATTTTCTATGTTTTTATGTTTTATATAATCTTTGTCATTTATGGTGACAGATTTTTTAATAATCCATGCATTTCAAAACTAATTATAATTCAGTTTTAGAAAGAACACCTGTACATCTTTCATCGGAATCTGACGTCTCCTTTCTTCAAGGAACAAAATTATCCTCTCCATTTTGTTACTTGAAGAAGAAAATTGTTTCATTTTCTTTGACATTCATAAAGTTTTCTATAAAAAAATGCCTACATAAGATTTGATTTTGCATAATTTTAAATTCAATTTCTCATGCTACTTTTGCACTCATGCAGTTATTTTATATTGTGTGAAGTATATTTTCATAGCTAATTCAAATATTTACTGATATAAACCAGTGTCAACATTAATATTTGCTTCTTTTATTATATAGAAAGTTTATTTTTCATTTATTTTTATAAATAATAAAACTAGTGCAAAATCATTTTATGTTTTATTTTTGTATTTCATGCAAAAAAAAGGTGCTAAAATGTTTTATTAGACCCTTTTAATGGTATTTTATTATTGTAAAAAACTTGTTCTCTTCTAATAACTTGAGTGCCTGTTCTTGTATGTGAAGTATTTATATGAAATGAAAAAATAAACTGATTATTATAATTCACTTTATATAGCTATTTTTTTTAGTTATATATATATATATATGTTGTATGATCTTAAATCCATTTAGTGCGAATACAAGTTATTACTACTTGCGCAATTGCTGCAAAGTTAGTTAATAATAATTTATTTCCTAAACAGTATTGATTAATTGATTATATTATCTTCTAAGTTTAATTAAAGTAGAATTATTTTAAAAGTGTGAATCCATACTGGTAAGTTACATTTTGCTTTCAAAATATAACTTACCTGTATGGATTCACACTTTTAAAATAATTCTACTTTAATTAAACTTAGGAGATAATATAATCAATTAATCAATACTGTTTAGGAAATAAATTATATATATATATATATAAGTATTGCTAGAGTAAGTTCAGGTAGTAATGAAATTAAGTAGATAACTGAATAATTAAAAACACACAGGAGAAATTACGAAGAAAATATTACAATAAATATAAGTCCCTTTCCTTTCAGAAATTTGCATTGTACAAATATATTAGATATTAATCTGTGTAATGCAGTTTTATTATTTGAGAAATAACTGTCAAAAAACTGATAAAACATACAAACAATATTTTTTCTACGTTTCAAGGAGAAATGCATGAAAAATAATCCTAAATTGCCTGATTATATAAATGAAGGAATTGAAAATGGTCAAATCATGTAATTTATGTAATATACAAATGGACATTCCCTGAATCCTGGGACCCTTTTTGGAAAGAGACCAAAGAATACTTTCACTTAATGGACATTTCTGCTCTGACAAACGCTTTGGTTCCATGATTCCTTGCTAAGAGAAGGTTTGATTATATGTGTATATTGCATTTAGATTTCTTTTTTTGCTGTGGAAGTTTAAAATTTTTATGTGACATTTTACACAGCGTAATAACTTTTAACAACTTTAATTTTTAGTTTTCCATTGCAACAGAAGCTATAAAGGTCCAAATAGTTCAGAATTTACTGATGTGACCACCGAGTTCTACTCTTCAAGTCTGGAAAAAAGAACTGAATCATTTTGTTCTTTTTTTATTTGCCAGTTTTGTTCTAAGAAAAGCAATAAGAAGTCTGATATGCTACGTCATCTTCGCAAGCATACTGGTGAAAAACCATTTAAATGTGATATTTGTTTGCAGAGTTTTACACGTAATGAGAATCTGAAGAATCACATTATCTTTCGTCATAGTAATTTAGGTTATCACTTATAAGTATAAACTTTTAGTGCTGAATTAGCTTGAATACTGAATTCATCTGAATCTGTATACACTGGGTGTATTTTTACAGTAAAATAACTACAAGCATAATTTTTTATTTAACATTTTAGGCATTTTTTATAGAAAAGCAAATTTGAAATATATTACATAAAAATTATATATATGTTATTGCAGTTAAGATTAAAAATATATAATTACGAATCATTTAATTAAGAATTAAGGATATAAATTTCAAAATGCATAAGAACTGGAACTTAGGTGTGATAAAGAAAAATAAATAAATAAGATTAGATCATAAATTAAAGAAAAAAAAATCAATTAAATCTGGGAGGGGAGACTAAGATTTAATTGGCAGATAAGACAAACATATTAAAAAAATATTTTGCTGCAATTTTATTTTAATTGAAATACATAAATAATAAAAAAAGTTCATATTAGTTAGAAATACTGACACTTTTTTTAACATTTTGAAACAATATCTTTGTAAAAATCAAATGGAAAAAATGTAATTAAATTGATAGCATTAATAAAAATGTTTTACTTTTAGATATTAATAAAACAGATCATTAATGAAATGTAAATTAAATAAATTGATGAAATTGTACACATACTGAACACAAACAAAAGTTATACATGTTATTAACAACAAAGTTTTCATGTGTTTCTTTAAAAAATTACAATCATTAGGTAATAGACTAATTGTCAGCTTAATAGTTTTTATTATTGATAAGGTTACAGAAGTGCCTAAATGAATGCCAGCCATATTATATCATTATATTAAATTCTTAAAATTTTATGTTGGCATAATTGAACTAATTATTTTATAATAAAATATGTGCATAACTGATATGAACCTTCATAAAGTTTTGGAAAACATGTGAAATAAAATTTCAAATTTTACCCTGATGTACTGTTATAATTTATAGGTTGCAATGGTTTTGCAAATGTGAAGTATGAAAAATAGTAATAAATTTTAGTTGTTATAATTTATATATTTTTAGACTGAGAAACTTCTATCCTTGTAATCAGAAACTGTAAGTAATGCCATATTTATATTTTAATATAACCTTATCTTTATTAAAAACCTTCATTTCTGTATGTTTTTGAAAATCCTCAAGAGCTTTTTATTTTTCTGAGGAATAAAAGAAGTTGCTAATGGGGAAAAAAAAATTGTATTGCATTTTTACAAAACCTATTGATTTATGTATTCATTCACCATCATATGACATTTGTTTTTACATGAAATTTATCTCATCTATTATATAATATTGATTCTGTTACTTTATATACTTACTGATTTAATTTTAAGATTGAAATTTGTCTCATCTATCATATAATGTTGATTGTATTATTTTATAGTCATTTGATTTTAATTTGTTATATGAGATTAAAAATTTACATATGTGTATCTGATACATAATTTTCTACAATGTTTTTTGTTGTATTGAAATTGTGAATTTAACACTTATAAATAATTGTCCATTTTTAAATTTTGATCTAAAAAAGAATAGTAATATATTCATAATTTCTCTGCAGTTTTGCGAATAGCATTTTCATAGTGGAAATGGATAAATGAGTTTTTGTTCCTGTAATTGCCTGCTGTTTTTGTACTGGTAAAACTTAAAATGCTTGCTGAACTAATTGTGTAAAAAGCAAAACGAGTTAGAAATCCACATATAGAATTATGTAAATTTATTCTGAATTAGTACATATTAAATTGCATGTAAACTTTAAATTATGTAATTCAGTAAGGATTTTTACTTTACTGTTTTTAGAATTATTCTAGCTAATACATCAACAGATTGCGTTATATTGACCTTTTTATGACTTAGTGTTATCGCTGAATGAATTTTCTATATTATCAAGCTCAGATATAATTAGATCAAAAGTTATATAAGGCAATCATTTTTTATTTGCAAACCAAGATATTTCATAAAAGGGTCTGCTATGTAGCATTTTTCAGCATTAGTGATTAATCCCAATTTTACTGAAGTTTAAATGATTTCCTGTTGAATAAGCATATACTATGATTCAGAGTTCACAAGCTGAAGATTGTTTTTTATATTGAACAAGAAATGAGCTTTGATGGAAATGGAAAAGTCATTTATGATAGATGAATATTTCTACTATACTTCAGCTTAAATCAGACTATTAAATGCCATTTTAAAATTCATTATTGTCACATTTCATATTGGCAACTTAATATAAAAGGTGATTTATTATTTTCTTTGTAGTTTCTAAGATACTGTATAGCATAAATAGTTATAACAAATGCAGCAAAAAGATACATTGTATAAAAAGCTCTAAAATTTTGTATGTGTAATACAAGGGTTTAATATATGTACTCACAGTGGCATAGCAGACTTTGATCGTGATCAGTGATCCCAGCCAGCCTGTTTGTTTTGTATTATTTGGGCAGCTAATTTCTTTGAACTTACTGTATCACCCATGAACTCTCTTGCATCTGTATAATGTTCCTTTAGAAATCTCTATTGTGCCATTACAACCAGCATGTATTTAGCAAATTCAAATTGACGTCAACTTTATGTTTACAATGAATGCCATGCTTGCACTATACTGCCACCTAGTATTTATTTTATGTGACAGGGTTTATAAGTGCAAACTTCAATCTAATTGCTAGTACTTATGAGTTACAAAATATCATTTGATATTTCCACTGTGACTATGATATAATGGACTGTCAAAATTTCAAATGGCTTTGAATTTAAATTTAAAAACACAGAATTACAAGTAATGCATAAAATGAAAGAAAACAGTTCAAATTATATATATATATATGTATGTATTTTATGTTCAGTTATACAATAACAAGATAACAATCAAATTCTTGTTTTATCACATCTTTTGTTATTGTTATTGCAGCAGTGGTTTTTTTTTTTTTTTTAATCTTATTTAGGCTTGTGGATAAAGATATTACAATAAGAACATCTTTAATTTCAGTTGAATAGAAACTCATCAGTATTGCATGCATGAAAATTGAGTCCATTTTGACTGATCCAACACTGGGGGAATGTGCTGTTAAGAAAAATGATATTCTACAGTGAATGCTAGGAGCAAGATGTACCATGCAGAAATTGCTTAAGATATTTTCCATTTGATGCTGTTAATAAATGTGTGATTTTTCTCTACTGAAATTAAATTAGCCATTTTGAATAAGCTTGTATTTTATTAATTTTGAAAATATTCAGAATAGCAATTTGATATCTAAGAAGTAAACTTATTATTAATTTAATATTTATTGCTATATTCCATACATTACTTTTTGTATTAAAACTGGGTATGACATTATGGCTCATAATTGATTCAACTTATTGCAGCTGTGTTACAAGTTGCAGTGTCACAAGGTAACCTATACACTTATGCATTCTGAAAATGTATTCTTTTTTCAGGTAAAATGCATTGCTATTTGTACAGATTGAGAAAGGTGCCTACAAGTTTTACATCCTTAAATATTAATTCCAAACGTGTATTTCCAATGAAGTTTTATAAAATAAAATAGATTTATGAGAGTACTTTCAACATGTTGAGAATGTTTCATAAATATAAAATGTAACTATAATTCCTGCAGAGTATAAAAATTCTTGAAAATACTGGCTTATATAATTTTTCACATATGTTTTCAACTGACAGTGCAGTTTTGCCGTGGTTCAGAGTGACTGCAAAAAATTTTTTAATGATTTTCGTAATGAAAGCAAAGTACCAGCAGTATGTATCTTGGTTGAAATATGACAATTCAAATGTATCCAATACTGTCTCTTCACACACCTGCATGCTCTTTTCAGACAAATGCAACTATATACAGGGAATGAAAATGTATCATCAAATATATTGATAGAGAATATTGCTATTACTGAACATTGATGTTGCTATTTCATAATTTTTCTTTTTAAATTTGTTTCACATCTTACTGCTAGCATTCACCCTATTCTCCGTAACATGGCTGTTATCGTAGCTATTTTGCTCTTAAAGTTCGTTTACCACTGTAAACAACCTCAAAATGTAAAAATAGTAATGCTACAAGTGCCTAAAAATTACTATAGTCTGCTATTTTAAAATACAAACTTCAGGGTCATTTTCTGCCACCTGAATTGCTTCATAAACATGAGAATAACAGATGCAGCAGATAATTGATTAGCCTAATTAGTATTTTGTCCTCTTTTTTCCATTTATTGTGTGAGGTTAATTGAGCTACAGTCTCAAATGAGGTGAAGAAGATAAATGCTGTGTAGTTCTGGCAACATGCATTATGATCGCAAGTGGAGAGAGCTTTCAATGGCCTTGAAGTGCAAGTTTTAAAGAAACTACTGTAATGTATTATTAATGCTAGAGAAAGTGGATGGTTCTTATTTTTATTATCCTAAAGTTAGTGGATTTACAAAATGAGAATCCCTCCTTCACTTGAACTTTTTAGGGCCTCTCACATTAAGACATAAGACATTGCTATTAAAAAAATAATTTATGATTTAAGCCTATGGCAGTCCTTATTTATAAGGTTATTTCTAAGGTTAGGGAATCCCATAAAACTGCCTCTGAACCATGCACTGAAATAATAGTTTAAACTTACATACAAGATAGTACAAGAATTGCATTTCACATTTATATTTTATGGATAAAATTAAAACGTCAGAATTCCTTTGCATTATGAAGACAAGAGTGTTTTAATATACAGAATATTTTATATTATTACTTGATTTACTGATGGTAATATATTTCTTGCATACTTATCATTTAAACTTAACTATAATTATGTATGAATAATTACATGAATATCCCATAAATTTTGGAATTTATTATCCATGGTTATGGAACACTACTGTATTCTCTAGACTTAAGACAGCACCTACAAAGCAAAAGTAACTTGTTTCATGTTAGTGATAAAACAGCTGTTAATATAAAATTTGTAGCTTGCTCTCCGAAAATATTCTTTACAAGTGTCTCATTGCACTTATAATGTCATGGATGAGTGGAGCTTCTTGTATTTAACATTAACACTGTATAATGAATACTTTTTTATGGCATTTTTTGTTTTCTTTGCATGGTCTATGAAAAGTTAATTTTTGTATTTATAAAATTGTTCTATCCTCAGTGCTCACAATTTTTCTAGTTTCATTCCAAAAATATCCTGGTGCTTTCAATTTGTGTGTGAATTTAATAATCGTATTCTATTAATTAAATCCACTTGTTTTGAATATTTTTTTCTTCGTATTTTTATAGGATATACATATGAAAGATGTTCACGTTCAATGGAAAATATTCCAAAGAAATATCATTGCAAGATATGCCCATATTCATCTAACGATGGATCAAATTACAAAAGACATAAAATGGTGCACACACAAGAACGTCCTTATGTTTGTCCTTTGTGCCTAAAAGCTTTCAATTATAAATCTAATTTAAAAAGTCACATGGCTTATATACACTAAATGCATTCGTAAATTTTAAAGTATGATCTTTGGCAAGAGCCCAAAGACCATACTTTAAAATACTTTGTTGTTGACCATACTTTGTTGTTGAATTATTTACTTAAGTGCATTTGGTCTATTCTTATTTGTTATTTGTCATAGTATCTGCCTCATGTAATATATGATTTACAATATATTCTGTATACAAAGAAAGTATGGAGGTAAAAGGGATTTGATCATTTGATCTGATTTCTAATTGCATTTTAATTTGCATTTCTTTATATCTTTTGCTCTGTAAAATAAATAATGATATAAATTATCTATGTGTGTTGACTAAACACATTTTTTTTTTCCCCTGTAAATAAAATTTTAAAATGGGCTCAAATATTTTTATTTGTGGTATAATATTAAAATCACACTGGAATTTAAAACCTTCAGCAGTATTAATGATAACACTGGGCAACAGCAGTTTTGTTGTCTTAGATCTGTCACTTGTTTTTGACTAACATTTAGCCTCTGATTCCACAAATAACCCCAGTTTTTGTCTATCATGTCAACTTTTTAAGCTACAGAATATTTTCTCTTTGTATCAAGAGTCATACAAGATATGCAAACTAACCAAATATAATGTTCACAAAAAATAGTTTAATTAATATAAAGGCTATATATATATACTTACTGCAAGTTAAAATTTTGCTTTTACAAGTAGTACAGTTCTTTTACCAAATGGTAAACATACATATTAAGGTAAAAATTTTTGCTTATAGGTATTTTAGGAGTGTTTAATCTGTGGACATTCTGGTTTGATACTTCAACGATAGTTAGCCATCATATGTATATGCTTCCATACCTTGAAATCTTGGTGGAATCACTCGCCCTTCTTATCGCTGACTGCACCAAGATTTTTCAGGAAGTTATCAAGATGGTTATGTAAAAAATGTAATTTGATGATCATGCTGCAATCAAGCATTCTAAAGCAATCCAAAAGTTGGACAACTTTGCTGTAATTCTGCACTTTCCAAGTCAAACGTTCTTTTGAAGTTCTGTCATTATTCTGATGAAGTAAAGGTGGAAATATAATGTTTGGATCACCAGGTTTCAGGTCAGATCTTGGCGGTCAATTCAACTGCACTCAGTGCTTCTCATGAGCTTTACTGTTGCACATACACAAAAAAAAAAAAAAAAAAAAAAAAAAAAACAAGGATATATGGTGTATCCATGTTGCTGACCAAGGAGTAAGAATACCATTTTAAAGTTAATACAGATGATCCATTGGTGCAAGTGATATTGTAACAAATCAGTGACTCTCTTTATGCCTTTATATTCTTCACACAAACAAATGAATGGCCTTTTGGGACTGCACCAAATAAATTTCCCTTGTGGAATAGGAAACACTTCAAGCTTTGCTTTGAGCTATTGATTAAAATCGCCATTGAATTGCTTATAGGCTGAAATTTCCAACTTTTCCATTAAACCATGTACATTATTTCAATACAGAAATCCATCATGACTGTGAAAGTATTGCAGAAATGCACTTTCTCTTGATCGAAAGTGAGTTTCTCTCATGCAGTCTTGATGCTAACAGCTCTGAAGCTTTTTTGGATAATCTCAAATCTCATGCCAAATCACACAACTCATGCTGGTCAAATCCCTTACGAACGGAATCATCTTCAGTTTCAAATTCTTCGTCATTGGGGTCAATTTGGTATTCACTAGAATTGTATTCCTGTATTTTTAAACAGAATAATTCTTTGAAAACTGGCACCGGGAGTCCAGCTGAGTGAGGCACAGTGCATATAGCTAATAGTAAACTAAAATAATCTATTTTACATTTGTTTTTCTTTTCTTGTTATATCCTGACATTTTCACTATACAAAAGTACCAATCACTTGAGTGATCTTTGGGCTCTTGCCAAATCTTAGGTACACCAAATGGAAATTTAAAGCGTGCTGCCTTCATCCACATCCATAAATTCTCAACACACTGCTTTCACACTTTGTAAGGGGCCCATGTTTTATCTTGATTACCAATTTTCACTTTAAAATAGGCTTGCCTTACAAATAAACTGATGTTTGTCCTTTGATTAAGAATCATAAAACTGTGGCATATATAACAAAATGAATCAGGGCTATTTAAGCACTTATGATGTGAACTAGCAGAGGCAGACATAAAGAAAGATTTCAGTTCATATATAAATAAAAACTAAATACTGCTAATCTTGTATACAAACAAGAACCTCTGCACTTGTTGTTGGTCTCCTAAGGCGTCATTCACCCGGTGCTAATTGGAGTGTTTATCACCAGCCAGTACGAGAGCAATAGTACTTCCTACAATAGTGATCCAAGCTCGATGCCACAGAGAGTGTTCATATTCACATAAGGTGTGGAGAAGAAAACCAACTACAATTTTGAAATCAGCATGCCTATTTAACTCTAAAGCAGCTCAAAAATTTAACTGAACAGAAATTGTTTTACAAATTGTTCCCCAGTATAATTTTCTACTACATTTCTTGAAAGATATTCTTGGTAAAATCTTAATGCATTTGAAATTAGGCAAAAAACAGCTTTTGTTTGGTGTAGATTTTGGATAAAACTACAAATTTCAAGTGAAGTAGATACAAATCCCTCTTTGAGGAGTAAAAAAAAAGATTTTTTTTTGCTGAAATAACTGAGGCTGTTTTTTTGCCTGGTATTAAATTTTGGAATGTTTTCCTTGCATTAGTTAATGCATTTGATAAAATATAAAATAACTCTTCTAACCAGAAGAATATGTCTGAATATTTAGAAAATACACCTATTTAAACATAAGGCCTATATTTCATAATAATCTTAAAAGAAAACATGGTTTGGTAAAAATCTATTATAGAAGAGATATCAGCTATAGAATCTATTTTAGAAGGTGGAAATTAATGCAAAATTAGAACTATAATTTGTTTCGATTTTGTAATTATATATAGAACTATAATTTGTTTCAATTTTGTAATTATATATAAAACTATAATTTTGTTTCGATTTTTTTGTAATTATACATTATTATATGAATTTATAATTTGGTTTGATCTCAATACAGTTTTTAATATTGATTACTGTTTAAAATATTAAGCAGTTATTTATCTACTAAATAATATTATGAAAAACATTGAAAATGTATATCTAATCTACCATAATTCATCACTATGTGCAAAACATTCTCAGAAAAATTGATTTGGGCGTAAATGTTTTCTTAATAGATGCAAATTCATGCCTGATCTTCTTAAAGAGTGGAGGGAGAGAAATATCTCTAAATTTAATCATTATGTTTCTGTGCTAATATTACTTCCAAATTCCTTTCTTTTAATCCAAGATTTAAGTGACTGATATTTTGAACGAGTAATAAGAAAAAACTATTTGCAGTACTAAATGATTTGGCATAAAAATTAATAAAAGTTTGATATTTAAAAGACAAGTGTATTATTACTCATGAGGTCCTTTGCCATTGCTAAATTGACTTGTACTCTGTTATAAAAAAAAATATAGACATTAGAAAATACTGCTTAAAGTAATTTTGACTAATGAAGTTTCCTGATTAATTAATTTTTTGATTAACTGTATATATATGTTATATGTGTTTAAATTTATATCACAAAATTATTTTCTCTAAGTTTTTTTGGAGGGAAGGGGTTAGGTATTAAAGGAACTAAACATTTGAAAAATTATTTCTATTTTATAAGTATTTATATGGTTGAGTAATTATAATTTGTCTATTTAAACTGTAATCTCAAATATATTTTAAACTATAATTAATATGAAAATAATCACATTAAATACCTATATATTAATGCACACATTTAATATCATGGTGTGTTTCTTGAGAATAGGCCTTTCAGGATCATTTTCCTCTGTTCAACTTGCCTCAAAACTATGGTAATGACAGCTGCAGTAAATGTTGAGTAACCTAATTTTTCCTCCCCACTTCATTTCCATTTAATATGTTTAGCTTCATGAAGTGCCTGAATGAAGGCTGGTCTGAACTATAGTCTCAAATGAAGTCGAGAAAATAAAGGCTATGTAGCAATTATGACACATATAATCGTAAATGTGGGAGGTAAAAAGACCTTGAAGAGCTTATTTTAGAGTAACAGATTATAATTCAAAAAGTTATTTTCTTTATTCTCTTTTAAATAACCAAGTGAATTTATACTCCAAAATTAAACTGCTAAAAATTCAGGTAGTATAGTATATCAGTACTATTTTTCTGGTAATTATAAGACATAGGTTTTCTCTTTTCTGTGCTTCCTATTCCTCCAATTGCTGTCAAATTAACCATGGACTCTGTCCCTGGTTGATTGAGAAAATACAATTATATCATATATATATATATATATATTATGTAATATAATAGATGTAATTGTATGATTATTTCAAATTTAAATATAATTTTAATTATCCAGAAGTATACAAATATTGTTTTTTAAATATATTTTTATACATTTATCTATGTATACACAGATTTTTCAAATAAATTTTGAAGTATCTCAGATTTAAAGCATTTGATTAAAAAGTTTTTTAATCGTTTTGATACAGTATCTTTTTAGCAATTTATTTATTACAAGTTTGTAGTTCTGTCATTAAGTAAAAATTACTCTGGATATAAGAACATGTTAAACTCTGGGAATAAAGACTCATACATAAAATTTTATTAAAAAAGACTCATGAGTAATTTTAATAGTAGTTGTAAGACAACTACTATTAAATTAAATTTTAATTGGAAACCAGTTTAATTTTAACAAAAGGGGTTAAATTTTCCCTTTCAAATTCATGAATAGTTAAGAAGACAAATAAAAGTGATTATATTTTCTATAAACAAATGTATCCTCTTTTATGGATACTTTTACAGAGGCATGTTTTATTTTCCTTAAAACATTTGTATGCACATGTTATTATATTTGCAAACAAACAAAACAAAGATTGAGACATTCGACATTGTTAATGTCGATCTTAATTGTGCTAAAACATTATTATAAAATAGAGTTATATAACTAAACATTTTCCCTCTTATTCTTAAAATATTAATTTATAAACTTTTTATTAGTTTTTCCACCTCAAGTTTCATACAAATATTTTTATGTTGATCAATGTTGGAATAGAATATTTCTCATGTCTTTCTACATTTGAGGAAATAGTACTACATAAGAAATTACGTTAGCTAATACTTCATAATTATCTTTTCCTGCTACTTAATTGTTTTTATTCCACATCTGATAAAAAAAAATTATAAAACTGAGGCATTAATTTTTGCTCTAAAATGTGTGTAGCAGTGTGACTTCTTTAATAAATTATGTTTCATTTTGAATTTTATCTGGCATTTTATTGTGCATTATTTAATGTTGATAGTAATTATAATTAAAGTAATCCAACTCAGACCCATGTACAGTTTGTTCTGGTTAACATATTTTGTTGAAACTTGGTAATATGTTATAAAAACCATGGGGAAAAGAAAACTAATGAAAAATAATAGTTAAAATTTTAGCAACGAAGTGAAAAGATAGCGCATGAAGAACAAGACACCCTATCTGGAAACATAAAAATTTATTTAATCATAGCATTTGTTCAATGTGCATTCCTTTTCTGCCAATTTCTGCACTCAGAAAGTGTTATAGCCTGAAGGGGTTTTTTTAACGACTTACAGCAACATAGTGGGTTATACTGGCTTTTAATTCAGGCACAGTCTTATGCTTCCTCCACAGACTTAATCATTCAGGAATCTTCAGAACCAGAAATCACAGTTATTCAGATCCAGTGAACAAGGAGATCAGGCATTCAGAAAACTTCTCAAAATTACTCCATCATCTTCACAGTGAGCATAAAGCAATTCCTTCACTTGTTGGCCAGTATGGGATGTTGCACTATCATGCATGTAAACAATAGCCTGAACATTCTTGTTCTTATAAGGCAGGAATGACTTGTTACTGCAGAAGTTCAAAGTAAGGGAGATTCATTACCGTACATCTTTTAGAACCCTGAGGAATATTCTGCTGAACAAAAAAGGGGCCAAGAATAAAGTTAACCACCAAACCACATTATACAGTTATATAACTAGAATGTAAAGGCTGTTCGTGCACAACATTGGACTTGTAGTACCCCATATGCGACAGTTTTGAGTGCTCAATACTCCATTCAGAATAAAATGCAGTTCAGCTAAATAAAAGTTGTTTCAAGATAATATATTATTAATTGCTGTTCTTGCCAAAGACTAGCAAACAAAATCACTACTATGATGCATGTCTTAAGTGTGCAACTTTTGCACCCAGTGGATCTTGTTTGGATGTCACTTTAAAATGGGTTGCAGAACCTTGACCAAGGAAGAGACAAATTATATGATACTGTTCATTTTGTCAAAGAATATCAGAAACAAGACGCTTTGTAATCACAGGCTTCTTCCACTTTTTTATTTGAAATCCTTCTGCCCACTTCCAGGCAGCATACCCAGCCTCTTTGCTGCCATGATTTGTATAGTGTTTAGCGATGCTGGCTGCCATATTGTAGAGCCCAGGTGTGAATCTTTGGAGAAGGCATGGATGTCTGTGTAGCGTGAGGGCAATTTAAATATTGTCAAGTCTTTAGGGCTTTGGTGTTAGGGAAAGAGGGCTGGGAGACTCAGATCTGTCCTCTGGGGTGTGTGCTCCATTGAAATTTGGATGAAACTGCACAGTTACTGCCCAGTCTCTTCAGATTATTAGTCATGTATATAAAAAGAGGACATAATAATATTTTATGTGACATTAATGTTTCAGTCACAGACTAAATTATACCAAAAACCAAAACTGATTATTTATTTATTAACATTACTCAGAACAAAACTTTAAAAAAATATTTTTTATTGTATCCATGTTATTCTTATGCATAAAAGATTCTCATATTCTATCTGAAATGAATATATAAAGAGTTTTGATATCTTATTTTGTTCCAGCCCTGTTTATTCAGAAATTTGGAGAATATCATTCTGAAAATATTTCAAGTCAAGAGAATTATAACATCCAAACAAAAGACTCATCAACATTTAGGAATCGAAATGTGCAACATCAACGTTCATTCATATGTAAATTTTGTACAAAAGTATTTAAACGTAAATTTAATTTAGAAGTTCACACTCGTATTCACACTGGTGAGAAACCATATAAGTGTTCATTATGCAATTATTGCTGCTCATTTAACTATTCTTTAAAGTATCATATTGAATCACGTCATTATGGTGTTGATACAAGAGCAGAAACATTTCAAGACAATTTTCCTGAAAATTAATTTAATGCTCCTGTTAAATAATCTCATTTCATTTAGCAATATCTGAAATTATTAACTTGATTTATGTATGTTTAACTGAGCTAAATTTGTTCAATGTCTACTGAATGATATTCTGGACTTAAAAAGAGCAGTGTAATTTTGTGTTAATGGGACTGCATTTCACGTGTTTGTGTTGAATGGTTTTTTGAACGATTGTAAACTGTGATATTTTCTTTTTCATTTAATGCAAGAATGCATTATTATACGAGGGCTATCCAGAAAGTAGATTACGTTTTGGAATAAAAAAATAAACAAAGTATAGGAAACAAATTTTATTATATACAGATGAAAGCCACACTCAAATACTACTTTTCTACATAGTCACCATACAAATTAAGGCATTTATCGTAGCGATGTACGAGCTTGGAAATTCCTTCGTCGAAAAATTCGGCCGCCTGCGCCTTCAACCACTTCGTTACCTCTTCTTGCAGCTGTGCGTCGTCATCAAAACGCTGCATAGCCAGCCACTTCTTCATTGCTGGGAATAGGTGGAAGTCACTCGGTGCCAGGTCGGGACTGTACGGCGGATGAGGAAACAACTCCCATTTAAAAGATTCAAGAACTTTACGAGTGACATTTGCCGTGTGGGGCCGGGCGTTGTCGTGAATCAACAAGATCTTAGAGCTCAACAACAAGATCTAGAGCTGCGCTTGTTTTGAATTGCTCTTCTGAGTTTTTGGAGAGTTTGGCAATACCTTTGAGAGTTTATTGTAGTGCCTCTTTCCAGGAAGTCCACCAAAATTACACCTTTTCTGTCCCAAAAAACAGTCGCCATCATCTTCCTTGCCGACATTGTTTGCATGCATTTTTCTTGGGTTTTTTGGGGAGAACTTGTGTGCCCCCACTGCATTGATTGCAATTTCGTTTCACAGTTCACATGTTTTCACCCATGTTTCGTCACCAGTAACGATGCGATCGAGTAAAGAGTCACCATCCTTAATGGTAAGCGTCCAAAAAGTTCAACGCTGCAGCCATTCGCTGATTTTTGTGGTCCTCTGTCAAGATTTTTGGAATCCATCTTGCACAAAACTTGTGGTAACCAAGCTTTTCGCTGATGATTTCGTGCAACAAACTTTGCGAAATTTGTGGAAAACTCAAAGAAAGTTCCGTTATTGTGAAATTTCGATTTTCACGGATTTTAGCATCGACTTTTTCGAGAGGTTCGGCGGTCACTATGCTGGGTCTCCCACTTCGATCTTCGTTGTGAACATTGGTTCGGCCATTTTGAAATCTTATGACCCACTGACGCACTCCACCTTCAGTGATAATGTTGTCCCCATACACTTCACGAAGCTGCCGATAGATTTCTATCGGTTTACAGTTTTTTGCAGTCAGAAACCTTATTACTGAGCGCACCTCGCAGCTCGCGGGATTTTCAATTAACGCAGACATTTCAAACCGTCACAGTATCTGAACGGAGCACAGCACGAACCTCTCACTAGCACGGCTAGATGCAGACTGAGCTGCGCAACGCTCTGACCCCAAGATGGCCGCGCTAGCCCCGCCCCTAGCGGACATAGACGGAAACGTAATCTACTTCCTGGATGGCCCTCGTAAATAACAGGTCAAAAATATGTATCAGTCTATATAATTCAAATATTAATAACTTGCACAGTAATTAACATGTTGTAACATAATGTATTCTGAAAATGTTATGCATATATTTTAGTAATGTTACGAAATGTACAGCAGCGGTGAGATAGCTTCCCCGCAAAGCAGTTTTAGAGTTGCCATAAAATGGCAAGGGAAGGCACGGTTGTCAAATTTGGTGAGAAATTGTCCATTTGGTGACAAAATTGGCAATATCCCATGGACGGATGGAGAACCTTCTGGAATGACGTCTTATCCGGTTTAGCCCAGAATGTCCTCGAACACAAGCCAAAAGCTATATAAACCCTGCTGGTACGCAGTCAGTTAGTGTGTCTCATCTAGCGAGTCAATCCCTGCAGAGTCGATTGAGTTGACAGCCGGGCAGCGAGTGCAACCGAAGGAGTCTGTTAGTGCATCGTCGAGAGAGTTTGTTGAGCTCCAGGAACGACTGAACCGAAGAGTCGGGAGCCATGCTCTGTGTGTCGTCGAGTGCATTGCAAGTTGTAGCGTGGAGAGTCTTGAGAGTATGTGGAGTTCGGAAAGCAGAGTCGGGTGCTTTGCAGGAAGCTGTCTCCACCGTGATAGCCGGATAACCTGAAGGCTGTGTCGCTGATCGTGTCAGCGTGTTTATAGTAGTTCATCGACGACTGTAAAACGTGTTTTAGAGCTGTCCTGACAATACTGGCCAATAAAGTGTGTTTCAATACTTCATCAAGTGTCGTCGTTATTCACTCTAAATCCACACGAACCCCGTATGAACGTGAAGGAAGAAAATAACGTAACAGCTGGTGTCAGAAATGAGAAAAACGCAACAGTACTTTCAACACATTTGTGAATTTTTTTAAGGCAGGAATGTTGAAATCAGGAAATAAAAATGCAAAAGATAGATACAATTTTCTTTTTGTATAAGATGTCAGTGATGCATTAAGTGCATGATTATTATATTTGTATTGCAAATATTAAAAACTTAACAAGAAAATATTTTCTCCTATTTGAATTTATTTTACAGATTTTCTTTATTAAATATGTACTTGGTAAAACCATTTCCAAAAGGAAGTTTTTTAATATATACCACTTCAAACATAAATTTTTAGTTACTAATATCCATGCATTATTTTAATTACTGATGTTTGATAATATTTAAAAATATGAAGCTTTCTAGCTTCAAAAAGTATCATTTTCAATTTTGTTAATCATTAGATTGTATCCTATCAATTAAATGTATCCTATTGATGATAACATTTTGTTTAGTAAGTCATGTCATTAATAGCCAGAAATAAATTTGACAGCTGTTATGTGGTGAGTATTATGCTTCTTATCAGCATTTCTCTTGATATTTATAACAGTCTACAAAAAGTATAACTGTGCTTTCAGACTTTCCCATAAAAAACTATAAATTAAAGTGGTGGTTCTCAACGCATTTTAATCCATGCACCCCTTTCAACAACATCACCAGAAAAGGAACCCCCTTTCCAAAATTTAGAAAATACACATGTACATTTATTTAGATTTAGATTATTTTGTAATATGTTTTAGAAATTAAACAACAGAAAGTATAGAAAAAGTTGAATAACAAAACCTGAATAAAAGTAGCTTTCATAAACTAAAACTAAATACTTAACAGCTAAATAAAAGGTTGACTGCATTCCACCCTAACTATGAAATACCTCCCCCCCCCTGGTTGAGAATACTTGAATCAAAGGAAAGCTAACCGTTATTATGTTTGCCAATTACTAAGTTTGAGTATGATAAATGTAGTAACTTAATATTTTTCTATGTGAAAGCAAAAATGATATACACTGAAGTGCCACTGAATTAGGGATAGCAAGTCAACAATGAGTTAAGGCTCCTCTAGCCTTGATAATGCCTGCCACATGACGAGGCATGGATTCAGTAAGTTTATGGAAGCATTCTACAGGAATGGTTTGCCAAACATCAAATAGAATAGTTCATGATTCAGGAAAGGTCACTAACGTTGGATAATGTACGAGGGCAATCCCCAAAAAAAGGTCTCCTATATTTTTAGATGTACAAAGAACCGTTTATTTTCTATAATTGCTACATCACTTTAAAGAATGAAGAATGCTTTATTTTTCAACATAATCGCCATTTCGGTTGATGCATTTTTGTAGACACTATGGCAGTTTTACAATGCCCATGTCATACCAGCTTGCCGCCATGCCCTTCAGGAAGCGTTAAGGAGCTTCAGGAGCATCCAGAGTGATCCTCCGATCTTTGCGCATGAGTTCCTCAACTTTCACGATCGTCTCGTTGGCAATTGACGGCCTCCCGCTCCTTTCTTCGTCATGAATTTCAGTACGACCGGCTGTAAACTCTCTACACCACTTGCGAACATTTTTGATATCCATGCACGACTGTCCATACACTTCCGTCAATAGGCGGTGAATTTGAACCGGTTTAACGCCTTTTGCGTTCAAAAATTGAATAACTGTATAACTACTCACAACAGTGTTGCCAACAACCGTATTAAAACTTTCTCTATGTCCCCCAAAAATAGGAGACCTTTTTTTTGGGATTGCCCTCGTATTTCTCAAAAGGATAACACATTTCTCAAAAGCATCCGAAAGGTGCTCAGTAGAATTTAAGTCAGGATTGCTCATCCAACCAGGACCTGTGAGAGGTACAGTTACTTGCTAGAATGTTCCATTTCCATGTGAATGACAGGACAACATAAATGGATGAAGATGATCGCCCAGCAACTCTACATACTGAATAATTGCGGGGAGTTTGGTACAAGTATCAGAGATCCCAAACACTGCCAACAAAACCTGGCATGCAGGATCCATGGTGTCATGTGCCTGACATCATATTCTCAGCTTCCCATCAGTGCTAAGTAGTCGGAATTGAGATTCATCACTCCATGCTACTCATTTCCAATTCTCAAGAGTCCATTCTTTTGGTAAGATGTGCACCTTGATGGCATGCATTGAGCAATGGTCTCTTATAGATTTATGGCTCCCAAAGCCCATTTGGTGAAGCAAGCGTAGCATGATCCATTTACTGACAATACGACTGCTGCCCTGATTCAGCTGGGTGGGAATTTGAGCTAATGTTTGGCTTTAATGGCTATGCACAATATGGCTGAGCTGTCTCGCACCACACTTGTTCAAGTGCCTTCACAATTTGCCTGATGACTAGTCCCCCCCCCACCATCCGTGTATTTTCGGTATACTCTTGACACTGTCAAACTTTAAAATCCTAGCCCTGTGATGATTTTGGAAATTGAATGGCCCATGCATAGAGCACCTATTATCTGTCCACATCCGAAGGTGTCTAAATCAGAAGTTTTACCTGTATTGGCAATTGAAATGACTGATTAACTACAACCATAGTTATACCTATATACACAGTTACCACAATGCCCTAAAGTGAGCATAAATTCAGGGCAGTACTACAAAATTTGTATAGCCATGTCTATCCCTAATTCACTGGCACTTCAATGTATATGTAATTTTTGCATTTCCATACAAACTGTATTAGGATAGAAATTATATTATCAGTCACCAAAACATTCAGAGGATAGGTATCCTTTAGCTACTTGATTTATTACTATTTAGAATTTATGTGAAGAAAAAGAGACTGAAACACATATAATAAATGTTATTGCAATATAGTCAAAAGTCGTTAATTCGGACACCCATAATCCAGAATGATCTATAATCCGGACCT